CCCTTACCCACTGCATCCCGGCCACACTGACTATATTAGTTTGCCATGGCTGCCATAATGAAGTATCCAGATGGGATGGCTTACATAATAGAAATTTATTTTCTCACAGTTCTGGTGGCTAGAAACTGGAGATTAAGCTGCCCAGCAGGGTTGGTTTCTTCTGAGTGCCTTGAGGAAAAGATCTCTTCCAGGCCTCTCTCCTTGGCTTGTAGATGGCCGTCATCTACCCCTGTCTTCATATCATCTTCCATCCATACATGTCTGTGTCCAAATTTCATCTTCTATAAGAACACTAGTCCTGCTGGTTTAGGACCTTATTTTAACTTAAGTACTTCTATAAAGACCCTATCTTCAAATTTGGTCACATTATGAGGCACCGGGGATTAAGATGTCAACATGAATTTTTGGGAGGACACAATTCAGAACATAAAAGTGATATTTCCATTTTCGGAAAATGTGTGGTTCGTTCTGATCTTGGGGTCTTTGCCCTAGGTATATTCTCTATCTTGAGTGCTATTCTTGCTTCTCATGTTAAACGTACTTACCATGATAAAATAACACAATAAATAAAATAAAAAATAACATAAAATAAAATAAAAACATCACAGTCAAGGTACCATAGTAGAGAGAAGCCAGGCTGAGGAGAACATATGGTGATTGTGAGGAAGGTTCCTATGTTCTTCAATGTCACTGTTCTTGAAGGTCATCTGCTGGGATTTCCCAAGTCTGCCTATAAAGAGGATCTGTGAGGTACTGGGCATGACTTGCTATGTCTGATTTATAGAACACCTCATTTTACAACATTTGACAAATTGTCAAATGTTTTGTGAGGATGCTTAAGGCTCCTTGGCGTGACTGTAGTTGCTTTCATTAAGTGCCAGGTATGAATTCCAAAGCAGCATCAGTTTATGCTTCCTGGAATCCCTTGTCCTTCCTTTGCTTAAATGAAGAAAAGAAGAAGTGCTAGGGGCAAAATTGTACCACCTTTATTAGAGTTGATATATCCTGTCCATCTACACCTTGAGAAATGAAAGAGACAATCCATAAGAAATTGTTGGTTAATTTGCTGAGAGCTAATTTCTAAGAGTCACTTATCATACAGGGCAAAAAGGCTGAGAAAAACTATCCCACTAGTTTCCATGGACACAGAAATTGCTTCAGTGTTTGCCACATTTCAGTGCACAACATTTCTGAATGGTCTCACTCCAGTTCTACGTAGAACCAAGCTTGATGTTGATTTGAAGATGTACAAAGAATTATACAGAAATTATAGTGTTTTATTCAGAGATAAGTTTACTAATTCATTTGCTTGAAGACAAGTGATCTTCATTCTGACTGAAACTGACTTTGGTTATTTGCAAAAGTCAGAATGTAATATTTCACTTTATGCTAACCAAGTGCAAATCCTGAATGCCAAGTAAGTATTGAGCATGCCACCACTCCTGTCACCCCCCGACACCATCCATCCGTGGCAAACATCTTTAATTGGTTTTGACACAGTTTCCCATCAAACTCAGGTTTCAGGCTCCATCGAAACACATCACTGCAGGCTTCCTTCAGCCAGTTTTTCTTTTCCCATTAAGTGGGAAATGAGGCCAGCTTATATGTACACAAAATGTAAGTCAGTAGTTTTCAAACTATATTGATTTCTTTATTTCTAAAAGGGACTAAAATAAATAGAGCTTTCTAATGTCTCTTGATCACAGAGCCCCTCCCCCCCTTTTATTACAGAGCCCCTTTTTAATACAATATCTATGAGTTCTCTGTAACACAAATTGGGAAACACTGCTGTAGTACTTTACCACTTGAGACTTTTGATCTTTCTGGGAAACCCAGGTGGTCATTCAACACTTTGTAATCATTGTTTTTTAAAATGATATACATTTAAGTCAAATGCTGTTAAGACTGTGCCTAAGAGCCAGTCAAATAAGGAGCCAGCCTAGTGTATCACAACAGTATTCACATTTCAAAGAGGATTATTTTCTTGCAAACTGTCTTCCTTGATCAAAATGTTCTAAGCACTTTTATATATATATATATATATATATATATATATATATATATATATACACCTCATTTAAGTAGACTGACCACATATTTCCACTTACACCTGGGGTAGTCCCAGTTTACGCTTGCTTTTCTATTGTAATTGTTAATACTACTCTATTTTACCATCATATGTGTCCTCTTTGAAAGATAAATTAATGATCTCCTTACATTTTAATTCTCAAACAATCTGTGCTAACATTGGTATTACTACCTCTATTTACCAATGATTAAATACCAGAAAACTGGTTTGGTTTTGCACAGCTAGGCCATAGCTGAGTAAGTATTCAAATTAGATCAGTCTTACCTCAAAGCTCATGCTCTTGAATCAAGTACCGCAGTGCTCATGTAAATATCTGATGTCATTTAATAACCATGAAATGATATAAGATGTATTTATTGTCTACATTTTGAAGATGAAAATACTGAGGAAACCATATGCTGTAACTTACAAATTTGAGGTCTATTGTATTGAGAATCTTACATTTTGTTGTCTTTTATATGGTAATCCCTGCCTTTGAAGATCAGCCCCACACAAAAGGCAGGCCAACAAGATGTCTGGCAAGAACAGCTACAGAAAGAGTTGCAAGTAGGGCCTTATACCAGCTCTGAGCCAATCAGTTGGGACCTAGTAGATAGGTCACGATGCAGACCTCTTTCTTAAATATTTACCCATTTAGAACAACAATATGCAGTAAAATTCAGGTAAGTCCAAATTATTAAAATCAGACCCCTTAGCTTTATAGGAAACCAGAAGGACCTCAGATGAGCAAATACTTAGTGTACAAATAGGATATAATGATGACTCAAGGTACAAGGTCATTCTCATTAGAATACTGAGAACAGTCTCATTTTCTAAAAATTGGAGTCACCTTTGGCAGAATAATTGTTATATTTATGAAAATATATTGGAGTCATCCATTCTTTTGAGTATTTAATGATCCATTTAAGTTTAAGCCATACGCATTTCAAAACAAAGACATTCATTGTGCTATCATAGGGGTTTCTACTTTAAGAAAATTCTGTAAAAAGCTATTTTTTATTTTAACAACATTCTTTTAAGTGTTAATCCCATTTTACTGTCTAGTCTAGATCAGGGTTTCTCAACCTTGGCGCTACTGACATTTTTGGACTGGATAATTCTTTGCCTTGTGTATTATGGGACATTTATTAGTATCACTTCTCTCTACACACTAGATGCCAGAAGCACCTTCTCCATAGTCATGACAATACAAAATGTTGCCAGATACTGCCAAAAGTCTGGGGCAAGGGGAGCAAAATTGCCCAGTTAGGAACCACTGACATATAGGCTTCCTCTATGTTAGTCTAGGAAATTGACAAGGTAGAAATAAGGGAATTAATATTAAATGTAAAACTCTGATAACATTCAGTACCAGTTCAAATTTCCTTAGAAGTCAGAGTTCTGGTGAATTTACCTTGGCCAAAGTTAGGAGTAATGACTTGGAAACAAACCTGACTTAAGGAAGAGATGTTGGGGAGGGTATGTACTATGGTGAGTGCTGGGAATTGTGTAAGACTGATGAATCACAGACCCGTACCCCTGAAACAAATAATACAGTATATGTTAATAAAAAAAATAAGATAAAAAAAAGAGATGATGGGAAAGATAACGTATATTAGCTACTGGCTTTCAGGTTTCCAGAATCAGCACAAAATCTTCAACAGAAGATCTCCCCATGTAGATCTTTCCTTTCTGGCAGTGGTTAGGGCTCTCTGAGAAATGCCCCAAATCTCCAAGGGAAGTCCACATCTTTCTATTTCCCTGCCCTTTGCCCTGTCCTAGCATGAATGCAAAGCTTCTGTTTTGCAGCTCAAAGTTAATGGGCAGTATTCTACATGTTAGGGATGGAGTCCAGAGATGAAAATACACTGTCTCCATGGGGCATTTCCAGTTGCGGTCACTCCTAAATTTGGATTAGTCTTCCTCCACCCTTGCATTCTCTCTACTCTTCATCTCATCCTCCAGTGTAACAGGTAATGATACAGATTCCTACAGATCCCCCAATTCCAACCTTCTCTAACCATCTTCCAAATCAGGCAAGGATGGGAGGCTCCATGATAGAGGAAGCATAAGGAAGACTTCAGTTATTTTTAGGTTTCTTTTTTCCATGTCTCTTTGTGATGACAATGTGCTAAGAATTCAAAGGCCAGAGTATCTCAGGAAAGAGGCTCTTAAGGGGGCTTTTTGCCATAGTTTTAATTCAGGTTCGCTCAGCTCATAAGTATTTAGAGGCCCTGATTTTCAATTGCCATCTATGTTAAAGACCTGAATAATATTCAAGCCTCATCTGCCTCTTCCTCTCTTAATTGAGTCTCAGGTAAGAGATAATCCAATTGCTTTATACTTAGAAAAGCTGACATTTTACCTGTCACTGGATTTCACACTTTTAATAAGAATAAAGCCAATGTTGAAACCGTAGGTATCAGTCACAGGCCAATATAGAGGTTTTTACTTTAGAGACGAGACATATATTTGAATTTAGAGATGTAGGAAATTATACAAAAACAGTCAGGTTTTCTATTGCTTTTCTGAACTCTTTGGGTGGGACAATCCACATAAATAGGGGATTTGTAATCACTGTTTGGGTAATAATTAACCACTGTGTGTGGAAGGGCCTGCCATTTCTCGAAAGCTTGGATGTGAAACTACAGACTAGATTTCCAAGTGTCATAATCAAAGCATCATCTGTTAGGGATGAACCAAACATCTGTACTATTTTTTAAAACTTGAGCTTATTTGAGAATGTTAATAGTCATGAGAAACCTGTGATCAGTGTTTTGCAGAATCACTTTAAATAGATATTCCTATCACTGTTTAGAAGTGAGGAAAAGAATCATTTGTGTGTTTACTTTGTGGGGCTTATGCAGTGAAATTAAATGAGCTAAAAGTTTTTTTCAGGAGCCTTCCTTTTATAAACTGGTGAGCAGAAGAATTTAGTGGTTAATTATTATACATTTATTTTGGAAAGTCAGACATAGTTTTAAACATTCATTTTATTTGCAGGAACCATACATGGAAAATCATAGAATGATAAAACTCTGTTCTATTCTAAGCTAGTAAGTTGTTTCTAAGACCTAGGTTGCTGAAATTGTAAGCCTTTTAATAAAGAATGTAGGTTGTGGAAATGTATATTAATTTGAGATATAGAAAGTTAAAAAAATAATATTCTCAAGGTTATATGCAAATAGTCACTAAAGGAAGGTTTTTGAAAACATGATGTGATGATAATAATTATAGCTTTGAATGTCAGAAATTTAGGATATGGACCAGCCACTTAAAAGGCAAGTATGTATGAAACAAATCTGTATTTTCACGTTCATTCTAAGGACAGAGGAGTAAACTGTTAAGGTTAGTGCTTCAAACAGGCGCAATAACTTTGTTACAGAGCATTTCACTTCTCTGTTCTTGTTTTCCTTTAATTGTTAAAATGGGAAACAGCTGCTTCAGTGGCAAAATGCATTGTGAAATGCAAGAATTGTCAAAGAATGCAATTGCTCTATGGCATTCAATTTGAATCTTAATATACCTATCTGAAGCAAGTTAATGCCAATAAATTGTGGCAATAACAAACTGTGAAATCCAGAGGTTTGCTTCTGCATTCATAGTATAGTATTTTCCCTGAAGACAGCAGGCAATCCAAATGCAAGCTTGCTTCATTCAGAAAGCACAGTGTCTGCATATTTTTGGGTTTCATTATAATAACCTGAAAGTGAGATCACAGGAAATGTATTAGTGAATAATGGGTCATTAATCGAAATTGATTAGCTAGCAAAAAATCACCCCTATACATAAATCTTTCAAGGAACAATCACCTTTAGCTTGAAAAATACACATGTTTATCATTTCAGGAGGAGACAATGAAATATTTATTCTGTTTGCTAGACAAATGATTCCTTCAAGTCTCTAATAAAGCCTGCTTTAAGCTTTCTAAAAAAATATAGCTGATATTTTACCTTCTTTAGTAATCTTTCCTGCATCAGAAACCAAATTCCTTTTCAACTTGGAGTCGAGTAGGAAGCTAAGAAAAAAAAAGAAAAAGATACAGAGCTAGCATTTCTCCATTTTAAGGCAGAACAAAGAAACATGATAAAGTCATAGTTGCCTTTCACAGGAAAATAGCTTCATAGAGGAAACTGGCAAGACATTCCTCCATCTTAAAAGGAAGGAAGCATTGTAAAGCTCACTGAGAGCAAAGTCCTTGAGTTCAAATTTTATTTCCATTTTGAGGGAGAATAGCCTAAGTACTGGGAATTTATATTCTTTTTCTCTTACCCCAAATATTGTTCTCAAAAAATATGCCATGATTGTATAGTCCTTCAGATCTTGTAGAAGGATCTTTGTTTGACAAGGATATTTTCATAAACTCAGAGGCCTTGGTGGTACCCCATGATTCTGCTACTGTCCAGTGAGTTTAATGGGTCCTTATACTTTAGACTCTTTGGTCTATAGCTCACTGGTAGCCACAGGATGGTCCAGAAATGTAAATCTGTCAATCAGTTCTGAAGGGTAAATAACTTTTAGGAATCCTTATGATTTACTCAAAACATAGGAGAGCTTAAAGGGTTATTAAAAACTGGTTTATTATGAGAACTTACCAAGGGCTCTAATTCTGAATTTTAGCAAGAAATCCAGCTGCCACATGATCCTGAGCCATAGTGAAAATTTCCTACATCACATATGTAGATAGTTGGAATAATATGCTTGTTTTTGGAGAAGAATTTGTGGTCAGGACATTAGCAGTGTTGCCTTGAACTAGTCTTGGTTCTCAATGGCTGCTCTCTTTGCTTCATGTTATTTTTAGCTTCTTGTTAGCAATTCATTTTCAGTTAACTCTACATGTGAAGTGATGCTATTTACATGAACAATATTTTGGGGTTACAATTTTTCCTCAGGTAGACTTTAAGGACTATATACATTGTGGTTCAGATAGACTCATCATATTACTATTCCTAAGAAAAACATGTATCCATCACTCCTCTAAGATTTATTTGGTCTGTACATGGTAAATTCAGCCATACTTTGGCCTTGGTGCCTTTTTCCTTTGAGTTCTTCCTTTGCTTTTTTTCTAAATAGTTAATTTCCTTAAATTACTCCTCATGCAGTAATTGGCACACAAAACTATGTAACCTATTTTGTTCATATTTGTTAAAATGTTTCAAAGCATAGGATAGAAGGCTCTTAAATTCTTTCTCAACAAAGTTCTTTTTTTTTTTTTGCATTTTATAAAAATTAACATAAATACAACCTACCTTATTGCGGAAGGGTATGTTATACAACATATTTTCGTTGCGGGCACTTTCATTACCTAGAAATATAAACTCTGTTACTCTTTCTTCTTTCACACATTTAATGATTCATTTATTCAGCACTTTTAAAAAACAATATATGCTCTGAGTAGGATGTCGGTAAAGGGCAAAATTACTGAAGAGATACAAAGGGGCATATTGAAAAGGCACCGTTGGCAAGTATGTTGTTAATTTCTCCTCCCCGTATAGTTGACTATAGGATGCTGGGGAATTGCTTCTGTTCAAACACAATCCAGCACCTTTGAGTAACAACCCCCGACTAGATTATGCTGCCGCCTTCTTCTTTGTTTTTCCCCATTTACTGCGATCAGCCAATTGCAAAGTACACTTTTTAATGAAAACTTGTTCCTAGTACTCCCCATTGGTCACTGCTCCTCTTGCCTTTACCACCGACTTTCCATTTTCCATCCCAGCCCCGTGGCTCGCTTCTATTGCTCTTCTCCGTTCCCACAGTCACTGCTTTGGTTCAGGCTGTAGACAGTTGCTCCTAGGTTAGTCAGAGCTCCCCAGCTGGCCTCTGGCCCCTCTTGACCCTGCCAACTTTCTGCATACATTCCTCCCCCCCACACTAAAGTGAATCACCCTCTGAAGTGTTATTCCAATTTCATTTCCTGTCTCAGTAACTCCCGCTTATTAAGTGTCAGCTCTCATTAACACGTCATTATCAGTCTTTATAGCAGTTCCCCAAGGTAGAAGTCTGGTCTCCATTTTACATATGAGGAAACTGAGGCCTGAAGAGTTTAAGTGGTTTGCCAAAGGTGGTAATCAGTAAGTTGTAAAGGGCCGGGCCCATCAGAGTTCAAAGCACATGTTTTTTTTACTGTGTAACAATGCCTCTACATTGCTATTCTAGAATCACCTCCAAGTTATTTTGGACGTCAAGTGGTTTAGCATATACAAAGAAAATCTATATGAGTTTTTGCACTGACCTCCCTAATCATATTAGGTTTACATTAATATGGAAACTAGTTTACCATGTACTTTTTGTTTTTTTAAAGATTTTATTTATTTATTTGAGAGAGAGAGAATGAGAGATAGAGAGCACGAGAGGGAAGAGGGTCAGAGGGAGAAGCAGACTCCCTGCTGAGCAGGGAGCCCGATGTGGGACTCGATCCTGAGACTCCAGGATCATGACCTGAGCCGAAGGCAGTCGCTTAACCAACTGAGCCACCCAGGCGCCCCGTACCATGTACTTTTCTGTAGTCTGAAATTCTTAGTAAATACCAAAAACTTACCATTTGGATGGTGCACAATGGTGAGTTTATCTAGAAGACAGAAAGAGCGCATTCTATTGAGTTTTGTTCAATATTTATCTTAAACTTTCTTTTTAAAAATTGTTTGACTACTTCTTATATTTGATGTGACTATGAAATTTCACAGTTGGATTAAAAAAATACTGATTTCTGGCCACAAAGTGTGAAACCATGTCTTTTACTACTTTTGTCTTTTTTCCTTCTGATGCTTGTCCCAAGATAATATGATTTTAGATATGTTAGACACTTAATAAAAGCTTACTACTCTGCTTTGATATTCTTTTAGCCTGAGCTACTCCATTCTTTTTTTGAATTAGCATTATTCACTATGTATAGTACAATTTAAACATTTTAAAGTGTATAGGTTTATGACTGTTTTTTTTTAAGGATTTTATTTATTTGTCAGAGAGAGAGAGCACAAGCAGGGGGAGCGGCAGGCAGAGGGAGAAGCAGGCTCTTTGCTCAGCTGAGAGCCTGATGCGGGGCTTGATTCCAGGACCCTGGGATCATGACCTGAGCCGAAGGCAGACGCATAACTGACTGAGCCACCCAGGTGCCCCAGGTTTATAACTTCTGACAAATGTATACAGCCATGTGCCCATCACCCAGTTAGGATAGAGAACATTTTTCTCTACAGAAAATTCCCTTGTGCCCCCTGACATCAATCCTCAACCTATTACCTCTAGTGACCCCGATCTGATTTCTTTTGCTATAGATTAGTTTTATCTAGAATTCCAAATAAATGGAATCTTAAACCACGTACTCCTTCATGTTTGGTATCTTTCATTTAGCATAATATCTGTGAGATTCATTCATGTTGTTGTGTGTAATAGTAGGCATTTCTTTCTATTGTTGAGTAGTATTCCACTGTGTGAATATACTTCAGTATAATTATCTCTTCTTCTATTGGACATTTGGATTGTTTCTGGTTTGGCCTTTGTAAATGAAACTGCTATGAATTTTGTGAGCAAGTCTTTGGATACACATGTCCCCCCACCCCTTTTTGCTTTGAAAAATCCCTAGGAGTGGCTGGTCTAGGCCATAAAGCAGGTGCACATTTAACTGTTCCAAAGTCACCATACCCCTTTACACTTCCATTAGCAATGCATACAATGAATATCAAGTTGTTCCATAGCTGAATCACTTCATTTTGACAATATCTAAAAATTCTAGCCATTATATTTGGTGTGTACTGATATCTCATTTTCTTCTGCTCTTATTGCCTCCTTCCCAGCCTCATCTTTGTTGAATATGTAAAATATTACGTTCAGAGGAGTGTAATTTTTTTTTAGTTTTGTAAGTTTTATTTTTTAATTAACTTGTACTTTTTATCTAAGTTGTTAAATGTATTGGCAAAAAGCTAATTATATTTCCTTAGTATCTTTTTAATATTGGTAGGATCTGTTGTGATAGCCTCACTTTACTTTCCTGATATGGTAACTCTTGTTTTCTCTTTTTTCCAGTTCATTTTTGTCATGGTTTTATAAATTTTAGTTATGTTTTCAAATAACTAATTTTTGGTTTTGTACATTTTTCTATTGTTCATCTTTTTCATTTTTTACTGATTTTTAATCTGATCTTTCTAGTTTTTCCTCTTATCTCTTTTTGGATTGAGTTTGCTTTTCATTTTCCAGTTTCCTAAAGTGGAAACCTAGATCACTGATCTTAAGTTTTTCCTCTTTTCTACTATAATATTTACTATAAAATTTATAGCCATAAAGTTACCTCGAAGTACTATTTTAGTTTCATTCCACACATTTTGATATGTTGTATTTTCATTATCATTCAGGTTGAAATATTTTCTTGTGATTTCTTATTTGACCCTTCAGTTGTTTTGAAATGTATTTAATTCCTAACGATTTTGAGACATTTCTAATTTTTTAATTAAATTCTAATTTCTTTCTGTCATGGTAAGAGAATATAAGATTTCAAAAGGCTGAAATCTTTCTGAGAACATACTCTGAAGATTTCAATCTTTTGAAATTTATTGAAACTTTTTAAATATCCCAGCATATGTACTATTTTGGTAAACCTTCCATGTACACCTTAAGCAGACATGTATTCTAATTTTTTCCCATGTCATGTTCTGTAAATATCAATAGATTACCTCTTTATTCACTCCTTAAAAACATATTTTTTTATTAATTTAACTGTGGTTCTAAGAGTTGCTTTAAAGTCTTTGTCTGTTAAGATCAACAACGGGGCCATTTTTTTTTATTATGTTCAGTTAGCCAGCGTATAGTATATCATCAGTTCTTGATGTAGTGTTCAACGATTCATTAGTTGTGTATAACATCCAGTGTTCCTCACCACACGTGCCCTCCTTAATGCCCATCACCTGGTTACCCCTTCCCCCCACCCTCTCCCCTCTGTATCTTTCAGTTTGTTTCCCGGAGTCCAGAATCTCTCATGGTTTGTCTCCCTCTCTGATTTCTTCCCATTCAGTTTGAACAATGGGACCATTTTAGATGCAATTTTTATTGATGGCTTTTTTCTATGGATTACATTTTCCTGTATCTTTGAATGTCTTCCTTTTTTTTAAAAAAAATTGAATACTGGACATTATAGACAATCAGTTGTGTATTCTGGATTCTGTAATATTCCTCTAATAAGTTATAAAGTGTAGGTTCTCATTTTAGCAGGCAGTTTGATGACTGGCATGAACTTGTATAGGCCCGGTTTTATGCTTTTTCCAGTGTTGATCTATAGCCGCCCCCTGGTGTTTTCTAAAGCCCTCAGTGGGACTGAGCCTACAAACTCTGCCTTCCATGTGAACATTGTAGGGGCTTGGTTTTAGGCTTTGTTAAGGCAGGTCTAGAGGAGGTCTTCTAGAGGAGGCGTCATGGTCTTTAATCATTACATCTCTTTTTTTTTTTTTTTTTTTAAAGATTTTATTTATCTATTTGAGAGAGAGAGAACGAGAGATAGAGAGCATGAGAGGGAAGAGGGTCAGAGGGAGAAGCAGACTCCCTGCTGAGCAGGGAGCCCGATGTGGGACTCGATCCCGGGACTCCAGGATCATGACCTGAGCCGAAGGCAGTCGCTTAACCAACTGAGCCACCCAGGCGCCCCTAATCATTACATCTCTTAAGTGTCACAGCGGAATGCCAGTTGTTTTAACAATGTATTAAGGAGATATTTCCACTCTGGCAGGGCAAGAACTCAAACATCCCCAGTATGGCCTTTCCCTGGCTCTGCTCAAACTCTAGTGTCTCCTTTTGCTTTCAGTGTCCTAGAAGCTGTTATCTTGTATGCCTGAGTGGTCCTGCCCTGCACATGTACAGCTCATCTCTTGGCTACAGACCTGTGGCCTCTGAGGCTACCTCTCTACACAGCTATCTCTTCTTCAGTGATCCACCACACACATTCTAGAAGCTCTGGCTGCCCTGAACTCTGATCTTTGCCTCCTCGTGTCAAAGGATTGCCCTGCTTTGCACAGACTATAGTCAGAAAATCAGTCTCCTGGGCAATCATCAGAGTCATCTTGTATATTTTGTCACTGGAATTATGGTCTTACGCTGCTAATTGCCTACTCCCTGAAATCAACTGCCTCATATTTTTGCCCAGTGTTAGTGTTCTGTACAGTGGGAGGGTTTGTCTGGTACTACTTTTGGTTAGAAGGGCAACTAGCCAATTCCTAATTAAGACACCAATGATTAAAAACATTGACTTTGGATTAAAAAAGAAGTAAGTTGTAGTTTCTAATCTGTGTGTCTTTGGGCTTCTTAGTTTCTTACAATCTGTTTCTTTATTTATAAATTGGGACTAATGTCTACCTCAAAGGATTATTGTAAGAAATTAAAAAGATAACATTTAAGTGTATAGTAGATAGTCAAATATTAGCTGTTACTACCTAATGTTCCTTAGTGAAGATACTTCTATATTTTATAATTTGATACATTGTTAAAATTTTAATCTTTTTCCACAGTAGAATGGAGATCTATAGAACTCAGTTATCTGTAAATCAGCTTGCATTTACGAACCTAATTATTTTAGAAAGTTTATTTCTGTTTTTAGAAAACATTTCTAAAAGAGCTTAAAGAACTTTCTATGGAAAAGCAGATACCAATTTGATAATATGAAAATAAACTTTTTCAGGGTAAATTTCAACATGAAGGTACTAGCTAAAATCTATGCAATCTTACTGAAAATGGAAGAGATGGAAATTTCAAGGTTTTCTAGTTTTTGTCAGTTTTTAATTATCTGTGCAGGGGTAAGGACTTGGGGAAAGAGTCGTCCAATTATGACAACAGAATTTATTTTCAATTTTGGAATGTGCTGTTTATCTTTGGAGAAGATTTACCATCTTAATAATGTTTGGTTTGTATTAATATGAAAATGAGTGTCGCGCCACCCCCCCGCCCCCCCGAGAGCAACTGTTAATTATTAGCAAGGGGCATCTGCATTGCCAAGAAGCATGCTAGCTACAGGGGAAAGCAACCTGAGATTTACAATTTAAAATGATCCACATGTGGGGCGCCTGGGTGGCTCAGATGGTTAAGGGTCTGCCTTCGGCTCAGGTCATGATCCCAGGGTCCTGGGATCAAGTCCTGCATCGGGCTCCCTGCTCCTTGGGAGCCTGCTTCTCCCTCTGCTTCTCTCTCTCTCTCTCTCTCTCCCTCTCTCTCTCCCTGTCTCTCATGAATAAATAAAATATTTAAAAAAAAATAAAATGATCCACATGTGGACAATTGTGAGAACTGACTATATTGAGAATATTCAACCTTATTAAAAAAGTATGACTCCTTAATAATTCAGTACTCTGTATAATGGCTTATACATATAAAAAAAAAACTAGAGGGGAATTATCTTATTTGCAAATTTCATAGAAACCAAAGGAAAGAAACTAGCATTTATTGAAGGTTCATTATGGGTTAAAGAAGGTGAAAAATGTTTTAGATATTAACTTATACACAACCACATCCAGATAGATCTATAATTACCCCTGTTTTGTAGACAAAGAACCTGAGTACCAGGGATTAGATGCTGTCCATTCATGCAGCTGGGAAGTGATGGAGCACAGATTTGAATTCAAACCTAATTCCATAGTCCTTGCATTTTCTCCTTTATCAGACTGATAAAGGAATAACAGACAAATCTTACTTACCAGACACATTTTCTTCTTCTGGCCTTTTCCCAATAATGCAATCTCGTAGTTGGCGTAGTTTTTCCTTAATGAGGAAATGACCAGAAAATACAAGTGAAGATTTACAAATTTGTCATGGATCAAGATGAAAACATCAAGTACTGTCACCAGGACCACCACGACTAGGTAGCACTAATTTGGTACTTACAGTGTCCTAATAAACCATCCCTGATATTTTAAATGTGTTATCTTATTTAATTCTTGCAAACTCATGAAGTATGTATGTCATCATCTCATTTTACATATATAGAAACTGAGATTCAGAGAGGTTACATAATTTTCCGAAAATATACAGTTGTAAGTGATAGAGTCAGCATGGCGACCCAAAGCCCGATTCTTGTGGTTGCTGTTTTCCCAGTCTAACATCTGAGGGGGCTATCTTGGCCATCTGGTGTCCAAAATCAAAAATGTGACACAGGGCGGATTTGCTACTGCCTGAGCCCATCTCCAGCTTCTGTGGGTACAATCTTTCCTATGAATTCCTTCTAAGAACCAGGGACTTGGAAGCAAATGATACATAACTGGATTCCCCTTCTTAGCTCATTTGTGATCTTTCTTTGCTTTCCACAAAACATTCTACATGGAACATCTATTACTATGTTAACCAAAATGTAAAACAGTCTAACACTAAAAAATCTCCTTTGAGAAGAGAATCTAAGAATAACCCTTTTTCCTAAGGGTTTCCCTTGGAACCCAGAAACCATGTTTCCTAAAAAGAGAGTTGTTTTCATTAGTGTAAGCATCCTCTTCTGGGAGTGGAGTAAACATTCTTCTATAAGAAAGACACCTACTGGGTATGAGCAGCAGTGAGGAGGGTGAAAGGCAAGGTTTCTACCTTCTCAACCATCTCACCTTCAAAGCCAGGGGTTCTACACGGGTCTTCAATCTTCTAGAAACTCTTTATTACCAACTCTCTGTTTGTGCCATTTTCCCTCCTATTTTCTTAGGATAATACCTCTGTCACTAATAATATAACATCACAGTTACCCCCGATAGATTTATCCTCAGGGTATAAATGAATATTTTTGCAAACTACAAGAGTAATATTGAAGAGTGTATAGGAATGAGTGTGTATATATGTTGGGAAAATGGGGAGAACATTCCTTTTTCTGTTATTCAGGGTGTTGTCCAGGCCCTCATGTTAAGGACTAAGAAAACACAGGGGAAAAAAGCTCCTTGACATTGGCCTTGGTAATAGTTTTTTGGATATGACACCCCAAAGCACAAGCAACAAAAGCAAAAATAAACAAGTAGGACTACATCAACCTAAAAAGCTTCTGCACAGCAGAAGAAATGATCAAAAAATGAAAAGGCAACCTACAGAATGGGAGAAGGCATTTGCAAATCATCTATCTGGTAAGGGGTAAATATCCAAAATATATTAAGAATTCAAACAATGCAGTAGCAAAATCCAAATAATCTAGTTAAAAAATGATCAGAGGAAAAAAATGGGCAGAGGAAGTAAATAGACATTTTTCAAAAAAAAAAAAAAGACATACGAATGGCCAACAGGTACATGAAAAGGTGCACAATATCACTAATCAATAGGGAAATGCAAATCAAAGCTACATTGAGATATTATCACCTCACACCTGTTAAAATGGTTATCACCAAGAAGAGATAACAAGTGTCTACAGGATGTGGAGAGAAGGGAATCCTTGTGCACTGTTGGTGGGAATGTAAATTGGTGCGGCCACTGTGGAAAAAGTAGGATGTAGGTTTTTTAAAAAATTAAAAATAGAACTACCCTATGATCCAGTAATCCCATTCCTGAGTATATATCTGAAGAAAATGAAAATAGGATTTTGAAGCGATATCTGTACCCTCATGTTCACTGCAGGATTATCCACAATAGTCAAGATATGGAAACAAGCTAAGTGCCTGTCAACGGATGAATGGATTAAGGAAGAAGGAAATCCTGCGATCTGTGACAACATGAATGGACCTTGAGGGCATTATTCTAGGTGAAAAAAGTCAGAGAGAGAAAGACAAACATGGTATGATAACATTTGTATGTGGAATCTAAAAAAGCTGAACTCAGTGAGTAGAGTGGTGGTTACCAGCGACCGGGGAGTGGAGGGGAAGGGGAGAAGTTGGTCAAAGGGTACAAACTTCCAGTTATAAGATAAATAAGTTCTGGTGATCCAATGTACAGCACGGAGATCACAGTAAACAATACCACTTTATACACTGGGAAGTTGCTAAGAGAGAAGCTATTAAATGTTGTCGCCCCAATACAGAAATGGTCATTTTGTGACATGATGGAGATGTTAGCTAACACTATGGTGGTAATCATATGTAAGTGTGTGAAATCAACACTGTAGTACACCTTAAATTTCCCCAGCATTAGAGCCAATTGTATCTCACTAAAGCTGGAGACATAAAAAAGGAAAAGGACTGACTGATCGTCAAACGGTATTCAGTCAGTCACTGAACTTTCGGCTCTAATGGAAAACAGCCTTAGTGTTTGTCCTTGTAGTTACAGGTTAAATTTTGTTTTGTCTTGCATAAACAGTAACCGTATTCAATATCCCATTTTCCCCATATATTGGACAAGTCAGATCATCTCAAAGTAGTCAGAGGCCACCTTAAATTCTTTCTAAAACAGTATTAAATATAAATACACAAACAAAATAAAAACAACCAACAATTAGTCAAATAATTTCCAAGAAGGTATTTCGGTTGGATCACTCTAAATTGTAAACTTTATTATGATCTAAGAGAGTGAGGCGCAACTGACTTATTTCAACAAAACTTGCTGGCAGTGCTAGGAGAGTGGTTGTGTAGGCCTACACCTCGGCACGGTTTACCTGCTTCAGGATAGGAGGGATGATGATCAGTCGCAAAACTGTACAATCAGCATTTTTTTTCCCATTTGTTTGGCAAAACAACTGCCCTTGCTTGGCACTGCAAAACCTGGCTCAGGTCCAGCCACTGCCCACGGCCAGAGCTGCACTTCAAGACAGGTGGGTTCTGAGAAGGAGTGATCTCAGAGGTGCTGGGAAAGTCCCCTTGCCTGATCTATCTTCTGCCTCTATGCCCGTTTATTTGGAATGTTATCACTGGGATTCATTTTTCTGTTGTTTAAAAATGTGTTCCTAAGCATTGTTTTTCAATAAAAATGATCTCTTGGGAAAGGTATGTATTAAGTTTTAATGATTATTTGTACTTTGGCCTAAACTAGCTAATTGAATGTGTTTAATCAAACAGTTTCCTGAGAGCTGGTTTCTATGGCACTGGGGCTTTCTGTGATGAGAAGAAAAAAACCGTTGGACTGTTTTGGGAGTAGGAGGGCCTGCAGGATAAAACAGAATACGGTCTTGATACCCCTCACTGAGGAATGTCATGGGGTATATATGGTATATTTTGTTTTCAGGCTCATCTCAGAATCACCTACTCTAATACCCTCTTAGGATGTATGTTATATTAATAGAAGACAAGCTTATCTGAAGTTAATACTCTTGGCCGCATTTGTCTGTAAATCTTGACTGATATATACAGTTTCCCCCCCCCCCAAAGGTTAAGGGGAAGAGCAGAGAAAACTTTACTATATTTCATTGAGGACTATTGCCTGATATGATTTAAATTATTTTCTTGTTCCCTTTAAGCCTGCTCAACATAATATACCCTTCAGAATGCTGAGCACATGTTAGTGTAAAGATGCTTCACCTTAATTTCAGCAATGAGATTCACAAAACATTCACATAGCCTTATAAGATGATCAGGTATTAACACTGATACACTGAGTCCCAGCGTTGAGTTCACCAATGGTTTGTAAACATGAAACGTTTAATTGGTAGTTCAAAAACATCTTTTTTTGTGGCTAGTTAAAATCAAAAGAACAGTTACCTGTGTTTCTCGTAAAGACATTTATAGAGAGGCTCTGCAAGTGAGTGAATGTTCCAGCAGGGATTGGGGTCAGTATTACCTGCTGAATCATCTCCAGCTCAGTCTTTCCCATCTGCCAATGTTTAAATTTCTCTAGGGCTTCATCCACAGATAGTTTCCCATTTTTGACCTTCTCCTGCAAGAGGATGAGTTCTTCCTGCCCAGCAGCAAGACAGTCCACAGTGGAAAAGGCTTGACTTTCCATCCGAGCTCTGTCTACAAGATGAGGGGAAATGTTTTAACAAGAAGACAATATATGACAATTGGAAAAAAAAAAAAAAAAGCACTCTAAAAACAAATCAGTTGAGTTTCTTGTTCCTGCCAGTCTACAAGCAGTTACAGAATAAATCAGTACAAAATTTTTAATGAGTTTCTTTCTAAGGATTGTTGTGCCTGCTACCTAGTGTTATGGGTAAAAACAACGTGTGTCATCACTGGGGGAAGAAAAAGGGACAATCAGAGAAAGAACAGTAGTAAATTTCTGCATTGTACTAGTTGTGGGCAGTGCCAATTTCATGTTCTTTTTGTGAGGATTATTTTTAATCATGTGCACAAAACACTTAGCATAGTGCCTGTCACACAGTAAGCTAATTAAATAGTAACATTATCAATGATAAATATTTGTGGAATAAACATAATCTCTGTAGCTTTGGAAAAGGAGATCTAACAACATCCAAGTGTCACAAGAGGTTTAGGAGCATTGACAACGTTACTTCTGAAAGATTTAAAACAAGCAATTGCTGCTCATTTTGTTATGCACTGTTCTCTTCCCAAAAGAGTTTATTTTGCTCAGCACAATAAGAACATTGGATGGTCCAGTTTCCCATGTGCTGCAGCTAAAGCCACACCACAGACCAGCCCAAGGTACAGTAGTAACAAACCACAGACCATGGGTGAGTTCGGTGCTTTATTTGTCCCATGTAGTGTTTAAAGACAGAAAAGAGGCTGCATGCCTGTAAGGATGCTCTGTGCTCTCCAGACTACCCCAATCCCTGTCACTCCTTGTGGTCCCTAGATGGCATCTCACTTGCTACCTGCGTGGCCACAGAACTCATCTGAGTTTGTACCTTCTTTAACAAGTCCAACCTATGTATCGTATTGTCTCAGGAGGGATTGGGTAACTCCTCAGCAGTGTATGCCTCATGCAGTATCAAATCTAAATATGTCCACAGAGTCTCGAACGAAAGGATAGGTAATCCTGTTCAGCTGTGTCTTGGTTTGCTGTCCCTGAATCATTGCTCATTACTGGGAGCCCATCTTCAACAAAGATATAGATCAACTAGACTGTCACTACACCAGATAGACAAGGACTTAGGAAATGGAGGGCATTCAAAAAATTTTTTAAAGGTTTATTTATTTATTTTAGAGGGAGAAAGGGCATGTGCATGAGTAGGGGGAGGGGCAGAGGGAGAGGAGAGAGAGAATCTCAAGCAGACTCCCTACCGAGATGGGAGCCCAACATAGGGATTGATCTCACAACCCCGAGATCATGACCTGAGCTGACATCAAGAGCCGGATGCTTCACTGACTGAGCCACCCAGGCGCCCCTCACATTTTACAATGATAAGGATTCATTGATAGTATTTGGATTGGTTAGTCTAGAAAAGAGACATTTCAAGTACTTCATAGCAGGTTTTAAGTATTTCAAGGGGACTTGAGCCTTGGGGCTGTCTTGGAATGACCTTTACCGGCTTTCTTGGTTTTGAGAAGGATTCTAACAGGTAATCTTGGAACGGGGACACAGAGAGGGTTCCTTTCTGAAAAGATTCACATACACGTAAAATTGCTCCGTGGCCAATCATCCTGATTCCTATGGGGGTTTTCTCAGCTTGTCTTTTCTCTTCAGAAGTCCTATTCCCCCAGAACTAACAAGATGTCAACAGATTCTACACTCTAAATCTTTTTCTTCAGGGATGACAGAGCATGAAATCCCAGGAGAATTGGAGAAGCACAAGTCAGCCAGAGGGCTCACTGGTTCAGCAGCCAAAAGCACAAATAACAATTGCGATCTTAATTCTTATACCATTTGCTTTTTATGGGCGCCTCCAATCTGGGAGATGCAGTTTGCAAAAGAATTCTATGTGCCATTCCTGCCAGAGTATGGAAGTTTAGCGCCATCATTTAATAGCTAAGATACTCCACTAGCCCCTTACTTGTGTCTTCCCTTTGACTAAGTGTGAATGCATTTTTTTTTTTTTTTTTGTGAATGCATTTTTATCTCAAGTAACTTATGGCAGCTGGATTTTCTGGTTTTGTTGAAGTCGTCTCAAGGAAAGTCTTCCTGGAAAACCCTACCAGCTTGTTTTGCTCTATGTGCAGGGTTAGCTGAATTCAAAAAAATACTGAATCATCTTAACAATATTCACTTCAATTACCTCTTCGTCTTTCAAATTCTCGCTACCAAAATATAAGTAAGATGACTTTTTTGGGGGGGCAGAGTTCAGTCTTGCGTGGTTGTGCAGAGAGAACAAAAGAACAAAATTTAGGAGCAGCAGGAGTTCTAAATAGAGCAAGTTCTGGAAGTGAGCTGTTTACTAAGTTTACATACTTCCGCTTTTACTCACTCATCCCCCCCCCACTAAAAAGATTAAAGCAAACTGTCTTGATAAATTACTATTAGCCATGACAAGTTGCAAAACAAAATGATTTAGGCACTTTGCCATCTTTTCTCCTGAGGGTAGTACTAGTCAAACCAAAAAGTGCAACCTCTAATTTTTAGTAGGGTGTGCAGAATTGCTTTAATTCGTTTAGATTACTGTTTTAAGGGGGATGGAAAGTTTTTTGTTTCTTTCCTCCCCAAATTTATATTTATTATTAGTTTATTTTCATGAAATTTAGTATGAGTTTAAGATAATTGCTGTTAAAAAGCGTTTGTCAGATTGCTAACTGTACGTATTGCCGACTCTTGGTCTCTTAATGTAAAAGCTTCAAGACAAACTATAGTTTCTAGAGTTTTAGTTCCTTTTGGATCAGTTTCTCTTTACAAGATTTTCTATTTGATCAAATAAAAACATCAAGTAACACTGCTGTGGTGAGTGTATGAATCTTTAGATTAGGTAAGAAAGTAACTGAGCTTTTCATTAAAATTATTTCTATTACTGAATGACTGGTTAGAAGAACATTTTTTACTGAAAATTTGAAAGGAAACAACTTGATTGCCCAACAACAAAGAATTTAAAATATGAAATATTTACTTAATAAATATTAAGTAGTCATTAAAATAATAATAATTAAAAAGATCATGTGAAAAGAAAGACCATGTGGCAACATAGAAAGTACTTATTATATAATAAGTACAGAAGCATAATACAAATTTGTATATACAATAAAAATGTTGTTCATAAAATAAAGCATGGAGGGAAACTATCTTGAGATGATACAAGTTGTTCTTTTTTTTTTTTTTAAAGATTTTATTTATTTGAGAGAGAGAGAGTGAGAGAGAGAGAGCACGTGAGAAGGGAGAAGGTCAGAGGGAGAAGCAGACGCCCTGCCGAGCAGGGAGCCTGATGCGGGACTCGATCCCGGGACTCCAGGATCATGACCTGAGCCGAAGGCAGTCGCTTAACCAACTGAGCCACCCAGGCGCCCGATGATACAAGTTGTTCTATTGTGATAATATCAGAGATTACTTTTTTCTAATTTCAGCTTTCTGTGATAATACTGTATTTAAAATTTTTTTTAAGATTTTATTTATTTATTTGAGAGAGAGAAAGAAGGAGAACATGAGCGGGGGGTGGGGAAGGGCAGAAGGAGAAGGAGAGGGAGAGGGAGAGGGAGGAGCAGATTCCCCGCTGAGCCCCTGAGCAGGGAGCCCGATGCGGGGCTCAATCCTAGAACGCTGGGATCCTGACCTGACCTGAAGGCAGACGCTTAACTGACTGAGCCACCGAGGCGCCCCTGTATCGTTTTTAGAGTAAGAAACTTTCTCCCACTTTGCCAAGAGCCTTCCCCATGGAATACAAACCATTCCAAGCCATGCTATATACACTGTACCAATGCCATATCATACCGTACCATCTTACCAAATTATTTTGTAATTGAAAAAAACTTGTCAGTAATAGAACTTAAAAACCCAGTGACCAAGATTTACATCTGAAGTTATTTTTTTGGTCCACAGTTAAGGAACTAGCAGGTAAATTAACTCTGGGCCACATGAGTGAATTACAAAATACTTGGAGTGTTGAATTATTTGGAAGTTCCCAACAAAGTATCCCCGTCTCTTGAACTTAGGGCTGCATATCACCAGAGTTCCTCCCTTGACTAAACTTGAGTCAGACCCAGATTATTGCAATAAAATTATGATTTGCTGCATTACCTATTTTTTTATCACCAATATTTTACGTTCACATTTCAGAGATACTGTTTACCTTATATATATTTTTTGATTACTAAATCATGAATGAAAGGGAATGATTATGGTTTTGCATTTTCTCCTAGTTCCTAGACAATTTTATATTATCTGAGCACCAGACCCAGATTATTGCAATAAAACTATGATTTGCTGCATTACCTATTTTTTATCACCAATATTTAACATTCACATTTTATAAATAAATTTACAATAATTACTGAAATGCAATTCCATGTTTTATTGAATTCATTATTCACCACAAATTCTTTAATACCATAAGTTCTCTTTGAACTTTTTATTTTGCTTAGTCTCTCATTTACTTAGAATATCTTTTGGGTAATACTTTCATGATATACACAGAAATTCCATCTTTTCTAAAACCTTAGATATCCAAAAATTGTATCTCTCTTCTTCTTCTTTTTTTTTTTTTTTTAAGATTTTACTTATTTGACAGAGGGAGACACAGTGAGAGAGGGAACACAAGCAGGGGGAGTGGGAGAGGGAGAAGCAGGCTTCCCGCCGAGCAGGGAGCCCGATGTGGGGCTCGACCCCAGACCCTGGGATCATGATCTGAGTCGAAAGCAGACACTTAATGAGTGAGCCACCCAAGTGCTCCTTCTTCTTCTTCTTTTTAAGATTTTATTTATTTATTTGATAGAAGAGAGAGAAAGAGAGCATGAGTTGTGCGGAGGAGCAGAGGGAAAGGGAGAAGCAGACTCCCCGCTGAGCAGGGAGCCCGATGCGGGGCTTAATCCCAGGACCCTGAGATCATGATCTGAGCCGAAGGCAGACGCTTAACCAACTGAGCCACCCAGGTGCCCCTATATCTGTTTTCTTCTTACATGAGTGAAATACCAGACTAAAT